AACTTGGAGTTCCATCCTGTGTGATGATGGCGGCCACCCTGAATGGACGCTGTGGATTATGCAATACCACCTGCGGCGAAACCCCTCTTTGGGTGATGACATCAGCATGAGACATTTGGGGGACACAGTGAATTAAGAGCCTTTAAGAACAGGGCTCTGGAATCAGATGGCCAGGAGTCTGGGCTCTCCCTTCCAGCCGTGGGACATAATAGAAGCGAGGCCGCCTCCCAGGCTCAGTTTATCCGTAAACACTGGGGATGCCATCTCCCTCCGGGGTGGGAGGGCCTCAGACCAGTAGCTCGGCAGTGGCCAGCTACGTCCCAGGACACAGGACAGAGTCCCCGGAGAGCCAGCCCGACACCTTCGGATCCAGCTGACCACTGAGGGCGTTTTCTGAATGGCTGATGGCTGAGTCACTCCTGGAGAGGCGCCTGGTTTCCCGAGTGGGTAACAGCCGGGAGCAGGAGCCGCCCGGAAACGTCCCTGCGCCCGAGCGGGGCTGGCGAGGGCTGGGCGGACGTAGGTTATGAAAAGCCGAGCGAGAAGAGTGTCACCGCAAGAAAAACGGAATCCGTGCGAGGTTTAAATAACTTCACTCCAGTCAGAATAGTAAAATATTAACATTTTGGCAATTACTAAATACTAAAACAAAGGCAATGATTTAAAGCTGAAATTGTTTTTAAGTTAAAAAATGAAAACTGCGACCACTGCATCCCAAGGCCTGACCCTCCTTTTGTCGCTAACTTACCTGTGCAGCAAAACCAGGTTTTCCTTTCATGCCCCCACTGGAGACCTACACTTAGGTCTAACGCCAGGACTCGGCCGTCACCTAAGCAGAATCCTGACTCCACGGAAGGTGCCTGGCCACACACGGCGAAGGGGACACTCTTAGACCCAGGCTTTAAAACCCCTCTGGAGCTCTGTCGTTGCTGAAGTGATACCCAAGTTCTCTCCCTGGCTATCACTCGGGCGGCACCTGCCAAGGAATGTTCAAGACCCTGGCTCCCTGTCTGGCTTCCGCTGTGGTTTACAAGCTGGATGCTAGAAGGCACATTTAGGCACTAACCTCCTCCGTAAAATCTTTATGTTCTCTGGGACACCCGCCCGCATTCTGGGTCCCTTTCTGTCAGAGATGGTTAAAAAGGAACCCAGCTGGCATAAGTGAGGTGGAGAACAGAAGCACGTACAAATCCCAGCACCCCAACAGTTGGGCAAGTTAACACTAATAAAAGTATTTCCAAGCCGCTCTTAACGGTTCACAATGGGACTTCAAGTAATTTAATGCAGTCGTGATGGTTTTTCCAATTCTTAATCTAGAAAGTAAATAAATCCTACACACACCCTTCTGGCTGCAATCCCACACTTTAAAAATAACTTACTGGCAGAAATTTAACCCTTTGCTTTACACCTAGTGCACTATTTGCTGAGGTGGGACAGCAAGCCCCCAGCAATTTTCTTTTTGGGCTAATGCCCAAACAGGTCAAAGTTCTCAAGTGACAGCCAAGGAGGCTTCCCATGACCCCAGGCCCTTCTTCAAGATCCGCTTTCAAAACCATAGGGTATTATTATAATGAGCTTGATTTCCCTTAAGCAGGTTTTTGTTGACTAATCAGATCAACCTAGAAAGTCAGCTGGACTTGGATGGCCTGTGACGGGGGCAGGAGCACATCCCACAGTCAAGAGTGAAACCAGACGTCGTCACCCCAGGAGCCGCCTCTACTGACCGCAGTCTTGCTGCAGCAGGAAGGCGTCCTTGCCCACCGAGGGATGACTCTACTTGTTCCCGGATGCAGGGAAAGCCTTGGAAGAGGCTTTTACATTTAGACGAAATGAAGCTTAAAAACAAAAACAAATGCCATACAAATGACAGGATGGTGCAGGTGGGAGGCACTTCAAACCCTAGCCTGCCACTCAAGTTGTGTCACCCTGAGTGTTTCCCCATCTGTAAATGACACCAACCTCACGGTGTTACTGTCAAGTTTGAAAATGCTCAGCACAGTGCCTTACCTATAGAAAGCAGGCGAAAGCTACAACAGGTTCCCCAAGCTCCTCAGTTTGCAGACGAGGCACACAAGTGAGCCACTGTGGCTGGAGGCGGGCGTGGGCCAGGGACTGAGGCGCAGAGCCCGACCCCATCAACCACTGAGCAGTCTTACAGTTTTCCTCTGTATCTCACCCACACAAACCTCAAGTTTTGTTCCAACTTTTTTTTTTTTTGACCCTGATGTTTTGTCTAGAATTTTAACAGTAATATGGAACTCATCATTCCCACCAATCTGGACCCAGCTTCTTTTTTTAGAAAAACCCCACAGCACTGTGTACTTAATGCCCTGCAAACTCCCAGGAGGGGGTCATGGCACCAGGAGGGAGGCGCCTCGGGGGCTCTGGCCTTGGAGTAAATACGCTGAGAAAGTGCACCATAGGCAGGTGGTCTTTTCCCTCTGGAGGCCCATCACCTCTTCCCGCCAAGTACACACATGTCCATCCCCTCCTCAGCCCCCATGAACCCCACAGCCTTTGGGAAAATGGGAACGATGGTGCCTACTTGGCGGGTGATTGTAAGGATTTAATGGGGGACACTGAGGGTCAGATCAGAGCTCCAATACTTGAGCAGTTAAGGGCTACACGCATTATCTTCCCACAGAAATTCACAAATTCTTCAGTGTGCAATGAAATTGCCTGCAAAACTTAAACTACACCTCCGCAACTTGCCTAATTTAAAAGGTCAGCTGCTGGGCTTTGGAACTGGGAGCCTGACCCCCTCTCCAGGTTTCATCGGAGAGCCACCTAGCCAGTGCCCAGTGCCCAGCGACGGTGCCATCACCGCCAGGGCAGCCCGCCGCGCCCCCCCCCCCC